ACTCCACAGCCCCATCCGATCGCGACTCCCCCGTCGGTCGGGACAATGGAGCGCGGGACCACGCACCTCGCGCTGGGGTGTGTGGATGCCGCGGGAGTGGAGGCTGCCGGCCTGGGAAGGAGAACGGGGGCAGCTGTCCGTCAGGAGCCCGCAGGCCAGCGAGGGTGAGGAGGAAGTCCGCGGGGGGGTGCGTGCGCTGAGTGGCGTGTGAGTATCTGCCTATCAGAACTAACACCAAGCCGGCGGGGCTCAGGGGTTGAGCGTTGACCTATGAACCAGGAGGTCGTGGTTTGATTCCCGGTCAGGGCACAGGCCCGGGTTGCGGGCTCCATCCCCACTAGGGGGCGGGCAGGAGGCAGCCGGTCCATGGTTCTCATCATTGATGTTTCTCTCTCCCGCTCCCTTCCTCTCTGACATCAATAAAAATATGTTTTTAAAAAACTAGTGCAAGGAGTGGAGGCACCTGTAGAAGCCACTGGGAGTCTGAGACGCAGGAGCTGCTGGATCCAGGGGTAGGAATGGCATCCCCGGGGCACCCCCGCCCCCCGCCCCGCCCCCCAGCCACCGGGAGAACAGCGCTCGCACCCCGGTGCGCCAGTTACCACGAGGGGCTTACGTGAGGCCTGGATGGGACAGCGAGGTCGTCACCACACACACGCGAGCCCCCTGGCTTCTCTCCCGCCCCCTGACCTCCTCCCGCCTCCAGATGACCCGGGCTTGCCTTCCAGTCCTGCCTCGCCGCGTTTCACCTTAACCGCGTGGCCGCCTTGCGTAATGGGACAGGATTTCCCAGCGTCGGCACCCTCAGGGGCTGGGCGTCTCGGACCCTGGGGCTCCCGGCCTGTGAAATGGGGTAAGAACCCCTCCTTTCCCAGCTCAGAGAGAGGAGCTAGCCTTGTTGTTGTGCTTTGAAAGGCGGTTAGAATTATTGCCCAGTCCGGGGGCCGCAAACTCAACTGTCTGCAGGGCGAGCAGGTGGCGGAGTCGGTGAAGAGGGCCAGGCCGGGGCCGAGGCAGCAGATGGTGCACAGGCCTCACCTCCCGGGGCAGGTCTAGCCCAGTCGTACCCGATCGTCTGTTTATTAAACAATCCTGAACTCGGGATTTTTTTTTTATATTTTTACTAGAGGCACGGTGCACAAAATTCACGCACGGGCAGGGTCCCTAGGCCTGACTGACAGTCAGGGCCAATCAGGGACTTCTGGCTGCCGCCCGGGGTCTTCCTTCGTTCCGCGCCGCCCCCCTGGTGGTCAGCACATGTCGTAGCAACCGACCAAACTCCCGGTCTCCTGGTCAAACTCGTGAGGGGACCTTTTCATGTTAGCCTTTTATATATAGAGATTGATTTCAGAGAGAGGCAGGGAGAGGGAGATAGAAACATCAGTGATGAGAGAGAATCATCTATTGCTGCCTCTTGCACCCCCCACAGCCTGCAACCCGGGCCTGTGCCCTGACCCGGAATCGAACTGTGACCTCTTGGTTCATAGGTCATTACTCAACCACTGAGCCACACCGGCCGGGCTGAACTCTGGATTTTTAAAAAATGAAGAGCCCTCGTCTCTAAGACACTTTGCAGGCTGCGTAAAGTAACGCCCGTGGGCCAAACACCGCCTGCCCCGGTCGGCAGCCCCCGGAGGAGTCCCAGTCACTGACGAGTTGAAACGCGAGACTGAGAGGCAGAGCAAGGCCAAGGTGCGGGGCTCACAGCCCAGGAAGCAGGGCCAGGGGCCTCGTCCGGGCCTCTGGCCTCGAGCCTCCTGAGTCAGAGGGCCTCGCAGAGCAGGAGGCAGGAAGAGACCGCAGGCTCCGAATAGGCGAGTCCCAGCGCATCGATCCCGGGGCCTGGTCGAGGCATTGGCTGG